CCTCTTTTTGCTGAGGAAGATTGGCCCTGGGCTAACATCTGTGCCCATCTTCCTCTACTTTATATGGGACGCCACCACAGCATGGCTTGACAAGCGATGCGTCAGTGCACACCCAGGATCCGAACTGTTGAACCCTGGGCTGCTTGCTGAAGTGGAGCGTGCGAACTTAACCGCTACGCCACCAGGCCAGACCCTAAGTTTTTTATTTTTTAATTTTTAATTTTGAAATAACTTTAGACTTGGATAAAGTTTCAAAAAGAGTACAGAGAATTGCACATGCCCTTCATTCTGCTTCCCCGATGTTCACGCAGCCTCAGCATGAGCAGCAGGAGGAGGGGATTCAATGTGGAGACCACACCATTTACCTATCTGCAGGCCTTGCTCAGATCTAGTCAGTATTCCCACTGATGTCCTTTTCTGGATCAGGATCCCACGTTGCATTTAGTTGTCACAACTCCTGAGTCCTCTGATCTGGGACAGGTCCTCAGTCTCAGCTTTTCTTGCCTGTCTCTCATGACCCTGATGCTTTTGAAGATGCCCGGTCTGTTAGTTTATGGAATGCCCCTCAGTTTGGGCTTATCTGAGGTTTCCTCGTGATTAATTGTACAGTTGGCATTTTTGTCGGGAATACCACAGGACACACACAGGGTGCTGGCCTTCTTGCATCCAGTCCAGAGTGCATGGTGCGGTCTGTCGCAGGCCTGGGGATGTGAACCATGATCGCTACATTCAGGTGGCATCAGCTGGGCTCACCACTGTCCAGTCATTGTTTTTATTTTGAAACTATGTAAATACCCTGTTTCTCATCATTCTTTCTCCCACTAATTTTGGCAACCATTGCAGCTTCTTAACTGAAACAGCTGTTACTGTAGTCTTTGCCCGGTGATGATCTTCTGGTCCTATTATTTCTACATTTATTAATTGGAAATCCCATGCAAGGAAAAGCTCTCCCTTCTCTCTCACTGGTGTGTTTCTATCTGTTTGGACCCAGGGATGTGCATGCTATTTTGTGGGTCATCATCTATTCACATCATTGTCGATTTTGTTGCCCAAGTTTCTGGATTTGGCCACTGGTAGCCTCTTCGGGTGGGCTCCTGTGTCCTTTCAACACGCTCCTGTCGTGCTTCAAGCACTTTCTCACTTTTTGGCACCACCAAGATATTCCAGACTCACCTGGTACTTTCCCTGCCCCAGACCTGCCATCGGCCATTTCTCCTGGGAGTCCTGGTTCCTTCTGGAAAACAGGATTTAGAGATGACCATCTGGGTGCTGGAGTGCTCGTTGCTGCTGGGCCCCTCCCAGTACTTCTGGCTTGGTTTTGATGAAGTATCACAGTTGGTTCTCGTGGCAGTACCTGAAACAGCGGAGATGCTATGTTTTATGGAACATAAATTCTGTTCTGAAAATTGGAGATGTGCTCAGCTTTTGCATGGAGGTGTTGAAAGGATGGCCCCACAGATATGTTCGGAGCACATTGTGTGTGACTCTCATACTAGATGTTCACATTTGCCATCCCTGTTTGAATAGAGAATATGTTTTGTATGATCGAAGCAAAGAGGGTGTTTCTAAATAGTTGATGCATTGTTTTATTTTGAGATGCCAGATATACAACACCCTGAGCTCCTCCATCTTCATGTTCTGTCTTCTGATTGTCTTCATGGAGCTGTCTCATTTCCTGGTCTCTAAAGAACTCCAGAGATGAGGCCGTTTGTCTGAGTGATAAGCTCTGTGTTGTCCTTGCCTCTTGGATCTCCACGTGCCGTCTATCCCTGAGTTTCTGTTGTTACTTTATCTGTTATTCTAATTAAAACCTGAGGCTCTAGGGAAGCAGGGTTGAAGTTCAGGCACAAATAAGAGCTGTAAAGGACACTTGCTTAACCACAGCCGCCCCCTTTCCCCTTTCTTGAGAAGTGTCTGCGTCATACAGAAGGCTGTGCTTTTACCGTGGACTTTGTTTTCCAGCATGGGAAAGACTTTGAAGCGATTCAGAACAACATTGCTCTGAAGTACAAGAAGAAAGGCAAGCCTGCGAGCATGGTGAAGAACAAAGAGCAGGTCCGGCACTTCTACTACCGCACGTGGCACAAGATCACTAAGTACATCGACTTCGACAACGGTGAGTTTGCCGAGGCTCTGCTTCCGGGAGGGCCCTGGGCGGGATTGGCTTCTGGTCAGAAGCATGGTTTCCAGCAAGCCCACAGGACAGCTCTCTGGCATTGTTCCCACCCAGCCACGTGGCCCGGGATTTCCTTGCCTCGTGGTGCTTTGGCTGGTGGTACGCTGTGGGTCAGGTTGTGCATGTTTCCGATGGCTCTGAGTGCCCGTGGCATCTGGGTGCCTGGCTTGCCCTGGGCCTGTGTTCCCCACTGGGAGGGAGGGCACCACAGTCGACAAGGAGAGGTGGGCCACAGGCACAGGCAGGCCAGAATCAGACCCCTCCAGTGCCTGCCCTTCTCTCCTAGTGGGGGCTTGTGGGGATGAGGGTTGGGCAGGGCCTGGCGTGCGTCTGCCTGGGGGCGGATTGCTAGCTTTCCCGAGGCTCTTGTCGTCTGGACTTGAATCCAGATTCTCGTGGTCCCATCTTTAATTCCGTGTCTGGGTCATCGCCAGGTATGTTTCTCTCTTCCAGCTCGGAGCACCCTTTCTGATCAACATCGGGGTCCTCAGGGCAGGTGTTGCCACCTCCTGTCTCCACATGTCGGGAGAATCTGTCTTCCTGTCATTCCTCCCGCTCAGTCTTCAACTCCTCCTCCTCCAACCTCACTTGTCATTTCTATAGCTTCTCTCTTAGACTGGTCATTCCAGACATTTGCTTCTACTGACTTCACTTATTTCTGACACTTCTCTTCCAGTAATACCAATTCTGATCCGGGATAACTGACCACTGCGGTTACGTCACTCCCCCTTTGAACCTTTGCCGTGAGCCCTCCACGTGGGCCCTCAACTCCCTCCCGCCCTGCCCGCGGGTGTTCTCTGGCTGGGTCAGTGTGTCTCAGCCACTGCACACGTCAGCCTCACCTGGGCTGACCCCCCGACTCTCCTCACGGGCTCTCCCATGGGTCAGGGCGCCAGGACCGGGACTCCTCCTCCAGCCTTAGGAAGTCCCGGAGGGCATGATTCAAGCTGTCTCTTTCTGTAAAGGGTCAGATGGTAAATATTTTCAGCTTTGGGGGTTTATAGTCGTTCTTGAAGCTACTTCCTTCAGCTGTCTTAGCTTATTGTGGACAATACGTAAACGAGTATGTGTTACTGTGTTCCGACAAAACTTTATTTACAGAAAGAGGCCGTGGCTGGATTTGGCCTGTGAGCCTTAGTTTGCCAACCCCTGTGCTAGAGAAATCCTTTCTTGCTGCCACTGGCCAGTACAGGAGCTCTTAGGACTGGGAGCTCCGGACAGTCAAGGTTATCTGACACTCTCCCCTGACTATATTTCCCTTCGAATCTTTGTGGACATCTCCCACTCTCCAGTCACAGTCTTGCTAGTTCTACCTCAGAGCTTTTCAGATCTGTCCTCACTGCCCAGTCCCACTCCATGCTGTCCCAGACCGTGGCTGTTGGCCCGCTCTCTGGTCCTGCTCTTCCTAACTCGCCCTTCACGTTGTGCGATCCACACAAGATGCGCCGTCTGCCTGGACTGCTCCCTTGCCGGAGCCCTCAACCCATCCCCACCAGATGCTCTCCCTTGCCCTGCCACTGCTCCCACCTGCCACTACTCCCAGGAATGGAGTCGCCACCCTCCTGCTTAACTGCACTTCCCTTTGTGCCTTGACTCCTGCCACCCCCGCTAGGTCAGCCTCCCTAACCCTTTTCCCCTTCCAAGACTGACTGAGCTCCCGCATCAGTGCTCACAGAAATCCTTCCCTAAACCTCTCCTGCCCTCACTGCCGCCTGACCGTTGGCCTGCTCTGTGCCTGTCGCTGAGCACGTCATACTGCTCTTCCCTGGAAGTGCCTCACCCGCACGGGCAGATGGGATAATGCCGGCTCATTGGTGGAGGCCCTTGCCAACCCCACCCAGACAGTAAGCAGTAAGCAGAGGAGCTAAGATCCAGGGCAGGGCCCGTGTTCTCTCCCTGCCACCCCTCACTGTCTCCTCGCCTTTCTCTTCTGTACACGTAATCTTTTCAGACCACCTGTTCGTATTGACGTAGAATTTCTCCGTTTGTTTTTTATTAAATGTTATTTCTTTGAGTTGACTTACAAAAATGAATACATTTTACCTTTCCTTTTGGACTTGCAGGCCAGTCTGGTGTTTTTAAATAATGCAAGTGTGGACATCTTTATTTGTACAGTGCTTTTCCTCTTCAGAACCACTTTCTTCAGATAAATTCATGGTCTCTGTCTACACGGTTGAGATAGCTAAGCCTACGTAAATGGGTGTTTTATGTCTCATTGTGAGCACTGATTATCCTCTGGGAGCATGAGTGTCTGTCTGCTGCTTCGCTGTATTTCCCATCTGGTTCTGTCCTTGACACAGGTGAGAAGGAGCTCCTGATAGTTCAGCACGTGCCGTTTGTGTCAAGTCCTGTCTTCACACCAAGACCCCATGTGAAGTGCCTTCTTTCCACTGAGTTTATGGCCCCACTGAGGGTCTCTCTGCCCAATAAAATGCTCTTGTTTTTCCCGAGTCTTTTCAAGGTATCTTTCCTGCTTCAAAGCCTTCACTGGCCACCTCACGGGGTGTCCCCCTTCCAGTCCTTGCAGGGGACGTGGTCTCAGTGTTTACTACCTGTGGCCGGGGACTGCCTTGGAGAAGCGCTCATCGCCCCAACTCCAGTCCCTCCAGCCAGAGGGGCCTCCAGTCCAGCGTTGCGTCTTTATGGGGACAAAACAACACACACAGAATGGTGGGTCCAATGCTTTTCAGCAGCGTATCTGTTTACATGAGATTGCCACTGTTTCTAGAGACCCGCGGAGGTAAGCTGTCAGTGTCCACACTTAGGGGGCAATCCCTAGATCTGACTCACTGGTCTTTTGCTCAAACTGTTGTTATTTGTTTGCCTTCAGTCTCCACACGACCATTAACGTAAGATTTCTCTGCTGGCTTTGGCACTTCATGGCAAGTCAGCCACTCTTTGTTCTTTCTCAGGTTGTCATCACAGCGTCTGTGTATTTGCTAGCTGTGCTCATCCTTCGCCGAGACTATTTCTCAGATCACTAGTTTATTTGGAAAAAAACAACACTGGTCTGGATCCTGTTGAGTCCAGAGCTGTTGTTAATGTCCGTCGTCTTTGCAGACACCCTCCCTACCTTCCAGGGTAGCACGCGGGAATGATTTTTAGCGGTTTGGCTCCATGTTGTCTTGTACATTTTTTTTTTGTTACATAGCATATTCTTTCACTACTTTCTGGAAGTTAGTCCATGAGAACGGGTCCTTCCTCCACTGTGGCTGGTTTCAAAGCTCACCTCAAATGAGAAGGCAGTCACCAGTGTGTGAAGAGGATAGGAGGCTGTTTGTTGGTGAAATGTAGAGAGAGGGCTGAGATGATGCCAGGAGCTGTAATCTGGCACGTTCGTTCTTTCATCACAACCATGCCATGGGCAGCGTGGGCAGTGTCGGGGGACGCTCAGGCTCCCAGCGTAGATGTGGCCTCCTCTGCTGCTCTGAGGTTCAAGGGCACATTGCCGGGCTTGCCACACCCAAGCTTTTTCCCACGTTTAAGGTTTCAGAAGGCACTTGAAGTGAATGTTTCTCTTCTAAGTATTTGTCACCACTCCCTGCCGGATCACCTTCTAAACTCCTCCCCTTGTCCCTGGAGGCCTCATTCCTTGGCCCTTTATCTGGCTCAGGGATCAAGGGTAGACGAGTTGGCCACCCTCGGGTTCCAGGCCTACACCGCATCTTGGTTCCACGGCAAGCTCTGTGGGATCAGACCCAACAAGTTCTTTCTCCCTTCTCTGCAGTGTAGCCTGTGTTTCCATCCCTCCCCTCTGTCCCCACCTGACCCACACGCTTCTTGGCATCTCATAGTTGTGGGTCTTGTTCTTGGCATCCTACTGTGACCCCACGAGAAGTGCCTTCTTTCTCTTGAGCTGGTGGCTGCACTGAGGTTCTCTAGCTGGTCCTGATAATCTCTCCAGCTGGTGGCAGCCAGTTGACCGCGTGAAGCCAGAGGGCCCACCTGCCTCTTTGTGCCACGTTGGCGGTTGCATCTAGGCTGCTGCTGTCCAGCCATTTCACAGCCTCTCGCCCAGCCCCTGACAAGCACCGATCTGCTTTCTGTCTCTGTGGATTTGCTTGTTCTGGACATTTCATGTAAGTAGAATCATATAATATATGGTCTTTTGTGTCTGGCCTCCTTCACTTAGTATGATGTTTTCTGGATTCATCCACATTGTAACATGTCAGAACTTCATTCCTTTTTGTGGCTGAATAATATTTCATTGTCTGGGTGGACCACATTTGCTTATCCTTTGAATAGTGGATCTTAAAGTCTCCTGAGTTGTGGTCCCCTGTGAGAGTCCAGTGAGATCTGTGGATCTTTCTCTCAGCAGAAGCTTTAGGAACAGTTGGTGTGTGTTGTTAGCAGAATCTCAGGCTCCTTAGAGTCTATCCAAGGTTCAGAATCCTTGTTTTACATCATTTATTTGAAACCTTATTCTCCATTTACTAATATATTTTTCTTTTCCTTTCCTATTTTTATAATCATACACAGCCGAATGTTAGGATTTTGAAAAGGGGTCTCTGAGGAGAGAACCAGAGAGAACAGTTGTGAGAGAGAGTGGAGGGACAAATGACATTGGTCACTGCTCTATGAGATGATCCAAAAGGTGCCTGGACTGTGCTGCAGCTGGGCCTCCAAGTCAGGATCAGGATCTGGCTTCAAAAAATATGAAAACTCGAAATAACAGGGGCTTAAGCATGTAAGGATTTATTCTCTCCCATCAGAGACGTCTGCAGGTGGACATTCTGGGGCGGGCAGCAGGGACCCAGGGCCTCCCGTCTCTCTGCTCTGCCTTCCTTAGCACCTTGCTCATGTCCAAGACGGCTCCAGGCAGCAGCCCTGGAGGAAAGATGGGTGGGCAAAGGGGCACATTCCAGCCCAAATCAGGCTATTTAAGGAGGCTTCTGGAAGTCTCCCACAACACTTCTGCTTACACCAGAGGCCAGGACTTAGTGGTGTGGCCACGTCTGGCTGCAAGGCAGGCTGGGACATGTGCTGCCTCATCTGTATGCATTGCTCCCCAAATAAAACTGGGGCCTGTTATAAGGCACGAGGGGAGAGTGGGTGTCAATAGTTGTGAGCATTTGAACCACCATTCCTCTTCCATCTGGCCCAGCGCTGGGAGCGTGTAGACCAGCGGTCAGAGGAAACGTGGCAGGTGAGCTCGCTGGTCTCCAGGGCTGCCGGCCTCATGCCGAGCTCAGGCAGATTCTGTGTGTCACAGAAGCGGGTGACATTTGGTGATGGTTACACCCCACCTGCACCTCTGTGGGAGCCAGCCCTGCTGGCCGTCCCCTTTTCACCTGTTGGGGACATTGCTCTGCCAGTTAGGACGAATTTTCTGACTGCTCTCCTTTTTCTCATTTGACTTTTTATTTTGAAAATTGCAAAGACAGTACGCTGTTCCAATGCTCTTGGCCCCGGTTGTCCCCATGTTAATCCCCGTGGTACCAAGGTGCAGGGATCAAAACCAAGAAGTCAGCCCCCTTAGATGATCCCCCAGCGCTGTTCTTGTGCACATGAGCTGGCCAGCCCCTGAACGTCTGTGTTTTCCCCCTTCTAAAGCCTTATGCTTTCCTACTTCCAGTGTTCTCTCGTGGGCTGAAGAAGTCATCCCAGGAGCTGTATGGTTTGATCTGCTATGGCGAGCTGCGGAAGAAGATCGGGGGCTGTGAGTATGAGCCGCCAGTGGGGTCCCAGTGCTGCTCGGGGCTTCAGGAATGATGTGGCCTTCCACAAGGTGCCCCGGCTCCTCCTGCAGGGCCTGCTGTCCTGTCACCATTGGATCTTTGGTCCCAGGGGCTTTTCTGTTTTCCCTCTACTTTCATCTTGAAAACATTTTAATGTACAGAAAACTTGAAGAATACGATGAGCACCACATACCTGCACTTAGATTTCTTGGTTGTTGACACTGGCTGTGTCTTGTGCGTGCAATTTCCCCTCCACACACTTGCTTTCTTCTTGTTCAGCCACTTGACTGTAAGTCACAGACATCCTGGCACACCCCTAAATCCCTCAACCTCTGTCACCCAAGAGCAAGATGTTCTCCCAACCAACCACAGTCCTGTTACCACACCCAGCACATTTACATTTATCAAACAGGTGTCACACTCTTACCTAACATCTTGCCCATATTCAGATTTCCTGAAACTCCCAACACGCCAGTCGGGGCCCATGTTGAGGACGTTGTCCTGCTCGGAGCTGTGGTGTCCCTTGAGTCTGTTGACCTAGAAGAGCCCCCACCTTTTGATCTCTCATGACACTGGTACTTTGCAGGGTCTGGGCCCCTCCCTTTGCATTGCTCTGATTGTCTCCTCGTGACTAGATTCTCTGTAGATGGAGGGGGCGCTCTGGCCTTCTCGGGCTACTGTACCCAGCACCTCACGCCTCTACCTTGACTCCCTGTGTGACCACAGATGAGAGGGAACACCCTGGCTTCTCCAGGCACCACTTGTCCGCCTGTCCTGTGGGTTGGAAGAGCACACACCCACAGGGACACTCGGAGGATTAAATGAGATCACATGAGACCTAGTGGCCGGGGAAGCCATCATCTTACCAGTCATCTAACATGTCACAGCTGAGTGGGCGGCGGTGCTGGGGGTATAGGAAGCAGAAGGGCAGGGAGGACAGGCATTTACTGATTACCTGTGCAGGGTGACCTGCCCTCTCCTGAAACAGGCAAGAATGCCTGAGAGGCTCTAAAGAAGACAAGCAGCGTCTTCCCCGCGTCCGTCCTCCCTGCAGTCAGAGGATTTCTTTGTAAGCCCCCTGGCTCCTGCTTTGAATGGACTTTTTGGATGGAGGGGCTCTAGGGCCCCGCCCCCCTCAAATCTCTGCTTCCTTTGGTCCGCCCTTCTTCTTGTCCTCACCCTAAAATGTTTCTGGTCATGGCAGTGTGGTGGCACTGCCTCCTCAGCCCAATGCCGTGCCCCGCCCCGGCCCTGCCATGTCGGAGCCTCTCAGCCAAAGCCCTCCCCAGACCGTCTTTGACCCCACATGAGTCTTTGGGCTCATCTTCTTGTGGGCTCCATAATCTTGGGTGGCTTCCTGTCAAGCCCTGGGTGTCACCTGGGCCTCCTGACCCAAGGAGCCTATGCCACCCTGTGGCTCCCCTGCTGCCCCTTGTCCTGCCAACGACGCCTGGTGGTCCCTTTCAGCCTTCTGAAAGTGCAACCGTACACACACACACACACACACACTCTCTCTCTCCCTCCCTCCCTCCCCCCCTCCC